CCCCAAAACCCCAAAACCCCAAAACCCCAAAACCCCTCAATAATTTAAAAATATTGAATAAATATGCAAGGAGCTGTATCTGGTGGAGGAAATTTTACTGTATATGCATTAAAAGAGGGGTATACCACACGGTCTCTCACTGCCGTTAATGGTGATACAAACCATAATAGATTTTTAGTCGGAACTTGCTCCTTAAAACAGAAAAATGAAATATACCTCTTAAATTTCAATGAACTTGATAATAAGATAGTTTTGGAAGGATTATTCGATCATGAAGAAGAAATTTACGCTATTAGCTCTAGTCCTTATGATGCAAATCAGTTTATTACTTCCTATGCCACCGAAAAGGGAGGGTACGGAGCATCCATGTTCGACCTTGGCGTCTTGACTGAAGACCTAGTTAAACCTGAAGAAGAGGAGGAGGAAGGTAAGCCCAGTTCGTTAATTTTGTAGGTAAAACAAAGCTTGAATGTAATGATACCTCCGAAAATACCAAATTAAAGAAAATATTTGACTTTGGAGTAATGGAAAGCCCTATTCATTCCATTCTGTGGGACGATGCTAGCGTTCTTAAGACTTTTGGAAGAGATCAACCAGAAGAAATTGTTTTATGAGATTCTGAAGCTATGAGAATTTTTGATGTTAATACAGGGAAAGAAAGAGACTGCTTGAGAGTCCTCAAAAGATCTGGGTATGAAGACGAAGAGCTCATTAAAGCAACGAGGATGAGTCTTGATCCCAGAATTATTGGTAATGTTATCTCTAACCACATTGTTTGCTGGGATACAAGAGAGTTCTCAAGCAAACCAGCTTATAAGATTGAGAATGCCCATCTGGCACCAATTTGTGATATTGATTTTAATCCTAATAAGCCTTACTCGTGCTGAACTGGTGGAGAAGATTTAAATGTGAGATTTTGGGATATCAGAAAAGGCAATAACTTCCTCTTAAACTTTGAAGAAGATTCTCATTGGGTATTGAACGTAAAATACAATAGATATCATGATCAATTAGTTCTAACCTCTAGCTCATCTACCTATGCTTCTTTGTGGAGGGCAGCATCATGAAGTTCGATCAATACTCCACTTACTAAGAACTCATCAGCGACTCAGGATAGTAAGGAAAAAGATACTATTATTCAAACTTATGAACATGAGGACTCCATCCATGGCATTGAGTGGTCAGCCTCAGATGCTTGGATCTTTGCTAGTGTCTCATATAACGGAACTTTCTATATCAACAACGTTCCTTCTGAAGAGAAATGGATTGTTCTCTGGGACTAAAGCATACTATGATTCAATTAAACTCTCAGTTATGGGGTTTTGGGGTTTTGGGGTTTTGGGG